TTTTCTTCTTCAGGCTAAACATGCCCAGCTCCTTAAGCCGCTCCTCATCGGGCTTGTTCTCCAGACCTTTTATCATTTTAGTCGTTCTCCAGCTTGTCAATATCTCTCTTGAATTGTGGTGCCCAGAATTGGACACAATATTTCAGGTGTGGTCTAACCAAAGCGGACTAGAGGGGTAGCATTACTTCCCTAGATCTAGAGACTATGCTCCTATTGATGCAGGCCAAAATCCCATTGGCTTTTTTTGCCCCCACATCACATTGTTGGCTCATGTTTAACTTGTTGTCCACGAGGACTCCAAGATCTTTTTCACACGTACTGCTCTCGAGCCAGGCATTGTCCCCCATTCTGTATCTTTGCATTTCGTTTTTTCTGCCAAAGTGGAGTATCTTGCATTTGTCACTGTTGAACTTCATTTTGTTAGTTTCGGCCCATCTCTCTAATCTGTCAAGATCGTTTTGAATCCTGCTCCTGTCCTCTGGAGTATTGGCTATCCCTCCCAATTTGGTGTCGTCTGCAAACTTGATGATCATGCCTTCTAGCCCTTCATCTAAGTCAGTGTTTCTCAACCTGGGGGTCGGGACCCCTGTGGGGGTCGCGAGGAGGTGTCAGAGGGGTCGCCAAAGACCATCAGAAAACACAGTGTTCTTAGTGGGAAGTTTGGTCCAATTCTATCGTTGGTGGGGTTCAGAATGTTATTTCATTGTGGGTGAACTATAGGTCCCAGCAACTGCAACTCCCAAATGTCATGGCCCATTTTCCTCAAACTCCTCCAGTGTTCACATTTGGGCATATTGAATATTCATGCCAAGTTTGGTCCAGATCCATCATTGTTTCAGTCCACAGTATTCTCTGGATGTAGGTGAACTACAACTCCAAAACTCAAGTTCAATGCCCACCAAATCCTTCCAGTATTTTCTGTTGGTCATGGGAATTCTGTGTGCCAAGTTTGATTCAATTCCATCGCTGGTGGAGTTCAGAAGCCTCTTTTACTTTAGGTGAACTATAAATCCCAGCAACTCCAACACTCCCAAATGACAATATCAATCCCCACCGGTAATCAAATTTGGGTGTATTGGGCATTTGTGCATCCTGCATATCAGATATTTAATTACGATTCATAACTGTAGCAAAATTACAGATATGAAGTAGCAACGAAAATAATGTTATGGTTGGGGGTCACCACCACATGAGGAACTGTACTAAGGGGTCGCGGCATTAGTAAGGTTGAGAACCACTAAGTCATTAATAAAGATGTTGAACAGGACCGGGCCCAGGACAGAACCCTACGGCACTCCACTTGTCACTTCTTTCCAAGATGAAGAGGAAGCATTGGTGAGCACCCTCTGGGTTCGTCCATTTAACCAATTACAGATCCACCTCACCGTAGTTTTGCCTAGCCCACATTGGACTAGTTTGTTTGCCAGAAGGTCATGGGGGACCTTGTTGAAGGCCTTACTGAAATCCAGGTACGCCACATCCACAGCATTCCCTGCATCTATCCAGCTTGTAACTCTATCGAAAAAAGAGATCAGATTAGTCTGGCATGACTTGTTTTTGATAAATCCATGTTGACTATTAGCGATGACCGCATTTGTTTCTAAGTGTTTGCAGACCACTTCCTTAACAATCTTTTCCAGAATCTTGCCTGGTATCGATGTGAGGCTGACCGGACGGTAATTGTTTGGGTCATCCTTTTTTCCCTTCTTGAAGATTGGGACCACATTGGCTCACCTCCAATCTGCTGGAACTTCTCCTGTTCTCCAAGAACTCTCAAAGATGGTTGCCAATGGTTCCGAAATGACTTCTGCTAGTTCCTTCAGTACTCTTGGGTGTAGTTGATCTGGCCCTGGGGACTTGAACTCATTTAGAGCGGCCAGGTATTCCTGGACGACTTGTTTCCCAATTTGGGGTTGGATGTCCTCTAATCCCTCATCCACTCCATCTTGCTGAGGTTGAAGATGACCTTCTTTTTGTGAGAAGACCGAGGCAAAGAAGGCATTAAGTAGTTCTGCCTTTTCCCTACCCCCTGTCAGCATTGCCCCATCTTCTCCTCGAAGAGGCCCTATCGCCTCCTTGTTTTTCCTTTTTCTACTGACATAAGAAAAGAAGCCCTTTTTATTGTTTTTAATGTACCTGGCAAGCCTGAGCGCGTTTTGTGCTTTAGCCTTGTGGACCTTTTCCCTACAGGTGTTGGCTATTTGTTTGAATTCTTCTTTGGTGATTTCTCCCTTTTTCCACTTCTTGTGCATGTCTCTTTTGTGTCTTAGCACAGTTAGAACTTCTTTGGACATCCATTCTGGCTTCTTTGCACTTGTCCTATTTTTTCTCTTTGTTGGCACAGTTTGCAATTGTGTCTTGAGTATTTCACTCTTGAAAAATTCCCATCCATCTGTAACTCTCTTATCTTTTAGTATCTGTGTCCACGGAATGCTGCTCAGCGTTTCCTTCATTTTGGCTTCCAAGTCAATGAGATTTGAGTCTCTTCTGGGTTTTATTCCAAATGTTTAAAAAGTCATCTGAGGTGCTCTACTTATTTTGGACACCGAGTTCAGCACCTTAGGGCAGATTCACCATCCTAATGATTTAAACTTCAAAGCTGTTATTCTGTTTCATGCTGGTCAGGTTGGTGCTTTTAGGACTCCTTAAAAGTAGACAGCTTGAAAAACTTGCACACTCTATATTACAATATCTCTCGATAGACATTATTCTACTTAAGCCTGTAACACTATTTAAGTTCATAAAATTGTTGTTGTTGTTGTTCATTCGTTCAGTCGTCTCCGACTCTTCGTGACCTCATGGACCAGCCCACGCCAGAGCTCCCTGTCGGCCGTTACCACCCCCAGCTCCCTCAAGGTCAGTCCAGTCACTTCAAGGATGCCATCCATCCATCTTGCCCTTGGTCGGCCCCTCTTCCTTTTGCCTTCCACTTTCCCCAGCATAATTGTCTTCTCTAGGCTTTCCTGTCTCCTCATGATGTGGCCAAAGTACTTCAACTTTGTCTCTAGTTCATAAAATTATAATACTAATAAATACAAAGAAAAACATTCTCTTTCTGTATTGTATAGGTTTACAGATTCTAAGTGATATAGCTGAAGTGATGTTTACAAAATCATAATTCAAGTCAAACATTTCAATATTACCATATTATATTGACAATGGATTATATTTGATGCTTAACTAAGAAGAAATCCACATTAAAGTAAACTGTCCATTAATCTTTTATATATCAGAATGATCAGGTGCCAAGAGAGGAAAAAGGAGGGGGAATTTAAAAGTTGAATAAGATTTCAGACTCTCAACACTTTCTAGGTTAAGTAATTATACAAATTGACATAGTGGAGAATAATGGTTCCATGAATATTTAACCCATCTGAGATTAAGAATAAACTATATGTGTGAGTAGAATGCAATGCCACGGCAATGACTGCTTAAATATTAAAATCCATAGCCACATTGTACCTCTTACACTTCAGAGGTTTTCTTCAGTGGCTTTCTATATGTTTGATTTGTCACGTGAAGACTGGTAATTGTATAAAACATGACAGAAGCATGTGAGAGAGTAGAACCTATGCATTTGTTGCACTCCAGAACAGGAATAACCCTCTGACTTTAAATACCACACGTTGAGTAGGAAAACAATCATTTTTATTGGAGATAAGTAAAAACAGCTAGGTAAAAATATGCTTTAAGAAAATAGGTAAGTCCAAAAAGGTAGGAAGATAAACAGGAACAAAGTATTCCAAGGCAGGGTTCAGCAAAGTTAAAAATCAAAGTCCAGACTTTTATAACAAAATCCACAGAGGCAGGAAAACACAGCATGAATATATAATTCCAAGAGACAAAGAGTCAAACCATGAACAAGAAATCCTAAACACAGCATGAATATATAATTCCAAGAGACAAAGAGTCAAACCATGAACAAGAAATCCTTAACATGAATCTTCCAAGCAAGGCTTCCATGGAACAGGAAGAAGGGCTTGGCAGGGTTCTGAAACAATGCTTCATCTGACCATTATTTACCCTGGAGAGAACTTTATATCCCAACACCCAGAAATTGGTTTCACTTTCTTTGACCGTTTCTCACCCTTATCTCTTGTAGCCTAGCGGAACAGCGAAAACCTTGGCTGAGCTGTCTGTTCTGGCTAAATTCCAGCTGTCTGTCTATCTGCTCATTATCTATCTGCTCATTAGTTCTTCCAGAGGTCAAGTTGTTTTCAAACCCCAAATCTTGGGAACTCTCTGGGTCAGAGAGTAAACTATCATCCCTATACCCTGTAGGAACATTCTCATGGGAAACTACACTTTGAACCGGTGTCCCTATGTCATTCTCTGCATTAATATCATTGACCAAATCATCTCCATCTTGACCCTCCGTGACATCATTCCCCACATCAGAAGCACCTTGATCCTGAAGCACAAACACAGGCTGAACTCCAACAGCATTTCCTTTTGATGACATTGTTATTTGATCTCTAGCAGTCAAACCATCCAACAGTGGATGACCTGAGGTGTGTTCCATTTTCCATGTTGTCTAAGTCTTGCCTGTAATCAACCTCTTTCTTTTTCTCTTAACAAAGCTTCAAGGCTCTTCTCACACATTTTGGTAGTTTGTACAGCCAGACCACTAGTCAGATGATGGGCCATACTAAACCAGTGACCATACTAAAGCAGGTGCCTATGTGGTGTTGGATAAGGATTGTACCTTTTGTGGTCTTGTATCAATATGTTTATCCATCCAAACATCTGATCAGAAATTATGCATTTGTAGATCGTACACATAAAAGCTGTTGTCATATATAACATAAAAAGAAATTATCTCTAAAAATACCAAATATTACTGCAGGAAAGCAAGATGTATAAATCTCTCAGTGAAAAACTGCAGTGCTAGCCTTTTTGACTGAAGATATGTTTGTTTTTGTTGTGGTTAGGGAAAGTGGTCTCATGTGCTACGTCTTCACTCTTGGCTAAGTAAGCTAAATCATTCTATTTCTTCTTAGAACTGAAACATGAAATCCATGTTTGGAGACTAACAGCCCAGCGAATTAACCCTGCCAGCAGAGAAGAGACCGCTGTAAAGTGCCTCTTAATGCAAAAAGTTCTTACTCTGGAGCTCCTGCTGAAGAAAAAACTCAAGACATTCCATAGGTATGCCTATTTTTGAGATTGCATCTTCCTCTATGAACCAATATATTCTTTAAGATCATCTGGGGAGGCTCTGCTCTCGCTTCTGCCTCCATCTCAAGCGTGGCTGGTAGGAATGAGAGAAGGGGCCTTCTCGGTGGTGGCCCCTCGGCTTTGGAACTTGCTATCCAAGGAGATTAGATTGGCACCTACCCTTTCCATTTTCCACAAGGAATTAAAAACCTGGATGTTCTGCTTTCCCTGGGCACTGTCTAGGAACGATTGCACATTCCTGTTCCTTCGCACTCAGCACTTCGTCTTTCAGCCATTATATTGTTTTTAAAATGTATTTTGTGATTGTAATGGTTTTTTTATGTTGTTGCTGATTTTATTTTGTTTCATTTTATTTTATTATTTGTATTTTAATCTGTATTTTCGGGCTTGTCCCCTTGTAAGCCGCCCTGAGTCCCTTTAGGGAGATGGTGGTAGGGTATAAAAATAAAGTTATTATTATTACTATTATAGGTAGGACCTATAAGAGCTCCCCATTTAAAACAAAGAACAGAGGCCCAGTCAGCTCTTGGATGATTGCATTTTTCAAACTGTTTGGAAACAGGTTTTATCTGGTTGCTGGGGTCCACTAGAAAAAAAATGATTTCTTCCACTCCATCACCCCACATGTGTCATTTGCATCTGGAACAGAGGAAAGTTACACAGGGGAAGACAGGAAGTAGAGGTGTGCTCATACAATTTTCGTATTCCCATAAAACCTTTCAAAAAAGATGAATACATGCAAATGTAATGTGGTAATCAGGGAAATATATTTGAAAAAACTCATTTATATTAAAGTTACATGGGTTCGATAGGTATGTTGTAGTTGCTTTTGAATGCATACTTAACAGCCAGTCTTTGTGCTACTGTCATGCTGTGAGTTGAACAACAGGAACCCTGTCTCACTTCATTGCTACAGAGTTTTATATGAGCCATAGGAAGCATCCTATTGAATCATGGGATTTGTGGTTTGCTGATGCTCTAGAATTCCCCAGTTGACTTGAATCCTCTACCCTGGACCAGTTTAGCTTTCGTGCTACAAACCTGAGTTTTGTTTCTTCAGAAGCTTTTTTTTCTGAAAAGAAAAAAAAAACACATCACAAAAAACCTATTGATTTGCCACTGGAGTTCTTTCCATTCAGTCTCATACCTCTGACCCCCCCTTCCTAGAGCAAAAAGATTTATCCAGGAAAGCAGGCTTGTTTACCCATTCTCTTCATAGCACGTACACAAATATGTTAGGAGACATTTGGCTACTATGAGATGCATTGGTGTTTAGTTTTGCACACTAAAATGCCACTGCATGTTGTGGTAGGAACTCATTGTGTGGTATACCACAAAAAGTGTCCAAAATCTTGACCAACACTTTGTGATGTTTTTGTAAAGGCCTGTGATTTAGGAATCTTGATGGCTATGTCATGCATATAGTTGTGTAGATAATACTGGATCACCATAAAAACTACACAAATTTGGTTGAGCAACTCATGATTAACATCATCACAGTTCATAATTCATATTTCTAATGCATATGATCAAAATACATTGGAAACCTTCCATCACACAGGATATTCTGGAGAGCTAAATTCCCTATTTCACAGGAAAGATAAAATGACCCAAGGCTAAGCCTTATAGAGCACATCTGTTTACATTGAAATAACTCAGATTCCTTTTGGCATGCTTTCACTAAGCACAACTGAGCACAGAATTGCTGTTGTAGTAATTTGTGGCAAAATAGATGGCCATATTGCTATTCCGTGACAGTTCTGAAAAATCTGCCTGTTTTCTTTTGGTGTCAAATACCATATGTGGATTTTTCTTTCAGACAAATCTCCCAAGAAGATAAAAACTGGGAAACAAATATCCAGGAGCTTCAAAAAAAGGTAAATGAATTATAGAATCATAGAGTCAGAAGAGATTATAAGAACCAGCCAGTTCAGTCTTCCATCATGAAGGAATACACAATCAAAGCACTCCTGATAGATAGCAATCCGGCCTTTGTTTAAAAACCTCTAGAGAAAGAGACTCTGCCAGACTCTCATGCAATTGTTTTCCTATTTATGATAAATTCTCCCCACTATACTTTATAATTAATTACTTCTGTGGAATATCCAGTACAGTTGAGTTCTTTAACATTGAATAAAACCCTGCTTTCTCCTCTTCCTTGCTTCTTTCACTGTTTGAAAGAAGTATCACAGTGGATGAAAAAAAATACTGGACCACCGTGGGACCAAAGGCCAAACATCCATATCATATTTTCATAGTATAAATCTAGGCTCATACTCCTGAATTACTGACATTTTGCCATCCCTTGTGTATCTATCTGCCAGTGTGCCTTTTAATTTCCACATTGGTCAGTGAAGAATCCACAGTGGATTTTTTTTCATCTTCACAGAATAAAGCTTGATGGAACTGGCAAATTGGGACATATTGCCCAAGAATGTGAAACTGCATGGCTGGAATTTTGTTGATACTTCCAACTATATTAGGTTTGTTCAGTCCATTGTGGAATGGTTTGTCAACTTGTAGGTAAATGTAATTGATTCAATGGCTCTTCTATAAACAGGACAAACAGTAGGATTTAAGGCCTGGTGAATTATTTTCTATAATTTATAATTTTTAGATCTCTAAGACTCATTACATTTCTATTAAAATGGATTAGTTTGGAATTTCTTACTCTGTGTGTTTTTGAGTGTGTGATGCTCACTAGTATTTTAAAATGAGGGCAATATCATGAGAATTTAACCGAATTATAAGTTTTCTTAGTCATGGCGTGAAAGGGTTCAGGTTTTTCTCCATTTAAAAGTCAACTGACCCAAGATTTAGGGATTTTTTTTAAAAAAATGTGGGCTTTTTTTTTACACTAAAGTTGCCCAGTAGGGAGAGAATGTATTCATTCTTGCATGTGAAAATAACATAAGCAAGGCTCTTCATCCTAGCATGTACAAAGAGAATTCTTGTGCTCAGTAAGCTGGAAAACATGAAAATTGAACAGATCTTGGAAAATGTACTTCTTTGGACAATAACACTGTCCGTCCTGGCTGGAAGATTCTGGAAGTTATGCTTCAAAGAAGTACCTTTTCTAAACTTGATTAGGAATGCTAACTTTTCCCATCTCACTGGCATTTGTGCAATGCTCTGAAACAGAAATGAAAGATTGGACTGATGAAGGTAGAAAATGGAGCCAAAAGCAAAGGCTCATAATTTTTTTTTGGAAAAGATATATTTCTCAGCTGCTTCACACATAATGTACTTTGATACATTTAAGAGTACGAAATGTGTGAAAGTTAAATACAGAATGTGTCTGAGATGTGTAATTTGTTGTGAGTATAAGCACCGGAATACTATGATTGGCTGTTGTCACTTCTCATGGGCAAAATAGTCCATTACACATATCATGTGATCTTATATGATGTGATATATTTATGAGTTTCACCTGTTCTGCTACATAGAAAGGTGTATATGGGATTTTGAAAGTGGTTCAGTAAAGTATGTATCTTCAAGTCATCTGGATGTTCTTAGAGAATACTCAGAGATGGCTTGTAATTATCTTCCTCTAAGACAGCCTAGAGCTCCTGGTCTTTCCAAATACTAACCATATCAGACACTGCTTAACTTCTGAGATCAGATGGGATCTGGTACCTTTGGGATATTTAGGTAGCTTACCAAAGTAAGCAGAAGTGCCATCTCATGTACCTAAATGTAAATTTATAGTAGAAATTAACTATAGAAAATTTGTTTTACTTCTCCACATATTAGAAATAAATTGAAAAAAAATGTTTTATTCCAAACCCATTAATTAATACACATGCAGTATGCTTTTATTTGTGTAACCACAGAGAAGACTTTGTCACCTTTAGACTAAAAACAGTGAGATACACCAAACTTTACAATACACAAACCTTATTACGGTCCATGGACCCACATCTGTTAAGTAGATAACATACAGGAGTTAACAGATCACGCATATTCGAGGAAATATACAATACAGGCACATACTACACAGTGCCATGTAAGTTCTTTGCAGTGGCAGCAAGGCTGAGAAAGAGCTTAGTCTCTTTCTCAGCCTTGCTGTCACTGCAAAGAACTTTGCCACCGTTAGGGTCACCCCGTGGTGCTTGTCCTCCAAAAGATGTCTGACCTTCCCTTGCGGGGAATGGGTCAGGATTGGGTGTAGGAGTTGGCCTTGTTGAGCCGAGTAATAGTGACACTGCAACAAGATGTGTTCTAATTATTCTATTTCATTACCAACACACAGGCATAATATTTGGGAGTAGGGTATGCCAGATAGTCTGCCCTTTAGCAGCTCTGATGGAAATGCATTTAGTCTCACTTTTGTGAAGAGTCTGTGGTAATTAGACACTGTGAGGTTGTTGAAATATTTGCATAACTTCAATGGCTCAGTATATGGCAAGTTCAAGGATCTAGGGGAACATGATGAATTTGAGCAGGCTTTGGGCTTTCCCAGGGCAATGTCCCTCATCTGTTGCTTCAGTGATTCCGGAGCCATTTTGAAACCTAGATGCAGCAAAAGGGACACTGATAGAGCAATTGAGGTTGCTTTCCGAGCAGCTCTCCTTGCCCAAAGGGGTTGAATGGGATATACTGTGATAGGCCCATTCTCAATTTGAATGCAACTGTTTTCAGCCAAAGATTCACTTGTGGAATCCAGACCCTTGTGCTTAATAGGCATTTACCTGTTTCTAGTAACAGGACTGGGTTAGGAACACAGTACGACACGTTTAACAGGTCTCTTATAAACCTTGCTTAGATTGTATCGAAGTTTACAAATGGGTTTTTCCCACCAAATGGCTACATCAAAGAGAAATTTCAAAGCAATTTTGGCATTAAAATTTGTTTATGCCGAGGGGACGTGTTGTCCTCCTTTGGTGTAGTAAAATCTCAGTATAGCAGCTCAGCCAGCCTTAGCTTTTTGGGTCACAGTTTCTCTATGTTCTTTCCATGATAACATATGGTGGAAGGTGAGTCCCAGGTACTGAAAGCTTTATACCTGCTCTAAGTGAGATACTAGATAATGTACAGAAAAGAAAAACATTTTGCCCTCAATTTGAAATATTGTATTCACATCTCAGATGTTCTCTGTACCTTTTTAATGGATCCTCCATATAGCATTACATTATTCTTCAAGTCTTTGAACAATATGCATGTTTGAAAGCAGGAATCTGAAGAGCATTTCTCTTTTAACAAAGTTTTTCTATTCTCTCCTTTCAACAGCATCGAATAACAGACAAGATACTTCTCATCAAATGCCTGACTGTTTTAGGATTTGTTATCCTCATGTTCTTTCTCAATTCATTTGTTCCAGGAATTCACCTAGATCTTGGTAAGCTCCCTCTATCTTCTGTCTTTGTTGGAAGAATAGAAATGCTGCATTTGAATGTGCTTCATGCAACTTTTTTCATGCATTCTTTCTCAGTGGTTTTTTCCCCCTTATCATGCACTTGCAAAAACATATGCAAACTTATATTCTCTGGAGATGAAGAATGATAACCCACTCACAACTGTAACATTATAAAGAATGCCAATGTCCTCCATCCAAAGATCTCTTTTGTTGTTGCTAATATCTCACCAACTGCCTATGTAACAACTGAAGAAACAAAAGAAATATACCCTCTTGTGCCACTAAACCTACTATTGCTACTTTAAAAAGGGAGGGATTGAGAGAGGGAAGGAAGGGAGGGAAGAAAGAAATGAAACTTCTTTTTCTTAGCCTCTACCTATGTATTACAATGGGTAACTGCTAGTGTTTGGTTCCAGGACCCCTTCTGAATACCAGTATCTATTGGTGCTCAAGTTCATTGCATACAGTGGCACAGTGAAATGGTGTCCATTTTGTAATTTTTTGGCCATGATTGGTTGAATCTGGAGGCTGAATCTATTGATATGAAGGACTGACTGTATCCAAATAAATACATAAAATGAGAAGGGGGAATATGTTTATAAATGAGTAATAACATAGTTCTGAAAGTGTATTCTCCTTCCAAAGAGATCTTCCTCAAGTATTTTATTGGGAGTAGATTTTATACCTAATAGATCCCAGACAAAACTCAACCAATTTAGTGATATGCTATATTGCTAAGCTCTACTGCTGTAGTCTGCAATACTGTCCTGGGTTACAGATGACTAGAATAGATCCTTATTTCAGTGTTGTGTGCATGTTCAGGCAATAGTTTGCTGATATTATTACATAATTCCTGCAGAAGAAATAGTTTGATGAAGGACAACTTCAACTATTTTAAAAGGAGAGCAAAAATGTATACTATTAATTACAATGCAGGATTTAACTATGTAATCTCGTAGTCAAAGCCTATATTCTGATGTCTCACAATCATAGGCTAAATCACACATCTATGCTGGATATCAAATTATTTCCTTCTTTTTGTGAATCAGAAATCATAGGCTAAAAATCACACATAGAAGTTTCATGTTTCCTGCAGATAGAAACAGGCCAGCTACTGCCTTGGTAGTCCATGTGTGTCAACTCATTGATACAAGATAAGAGAAGTGTGAATATGTGCCTATATATATATGAGCCTCTCATATCATACAATGACTGTTGAGGAAAGGCTGCTCCATTACAGAGAGAAAGTAAGTTTTCAGCTGTCTCAAGTCCTGGGAGAAACTAGCCATGGAATTTTTCTCTGATAGATAATTCAAGTTTGCTTCATAGCAGAGTTGGAAGATACCTTAAAACAGTCATAGGGAACATGCAGCCTTCTCAATGTAGTTGGGTTGTAGCTGTCATCATACTTCACCTTTGACAGATAAACAAAATCTACATCTAGTTTAAAGGGACTATGTCATGTCCTTGATTTTGCTTTTGAAGGGCATCTGGTGCCTCAATCTAGTGCCTCATTCAAGCATTAAGATATTAGGCATCATATAACACTCCAGATGCTTTGGATTGCAAATTCCTGCAGCTCTAGCAGTGAAAAATATTTAGAACTGTAGTCAAACAACATCTGGAGGGCTATATGATTCTTCACTGGCAGCCAGAAACGTCTATATCAGGAGACCAGTGAATCTGTTTTTTTAAATTCCAGAGCTATCTAAGGTGCTGAAACATACTGCCAGATTTCATTTCTTTAAAGGGTGGACAACTCTTTAAGAAGTGGGGCCAATTGCCTCACCCCTCCCCCCGCAAACACACATGCCTGTCTGGGCCTCAAAACAACAACAATAACAACAGGAACAACAACAATTTCATTTCTTACCTGCCTCTCCCCATGTCTTGTCACATCTTTTGGTTGGAACAGACATTTCTAGTCACTATTCTGTACAATATAGGCAGTCCTCAAGTTACAAACAAGATAGGTTGTGTAAGTTGTATTTAAGCTGAATTTGTATTTAAGTCAGAACAGGTACTTTTTAAGGTTTAGCTCCAGCCTCCCCCCTCCCCCCATCATCTGGCTATCTAAGTTTTGGATAGCATAGGGAAGGGTTAACAGCCCTGTGGTATTTCTTTTGCTGTCTGTGGATTCTGAAAAAAAAGTTTGTTTTGGAAACAAGGATTGGTGATAAACCTTCAGTGGAGACACCTTTCCCCCATGATAACTCTTTCAGAAGTGAATTTCCCTTCCTAGAGTAGATTTCTCTCACTTTCTGTGCTGCTTTTCCATAACCTACAAAAGATAAAACAGTAGTTCTCAACCTGTGGGTACAACTCCTTGAAATCCCAGCCAATTTACTAGCTGTTAGGATTTCTGGGAGTTGAAGGCCAAAACATCTGGGAACTCACAGGTTGAGAAACACTGCTCTAAATAAATAAATAAATAAATAAATAAATAAATAAATAAATAAATAAACAAACAAAATCCAATATCCAGTGTATTCACCAGATCCCTGAGATGGACAGTTCTGATTCCTACTTGAAGGAAGTACAGGAAAAAGTCTCTTTTTGATCTATTATTGTGGAATATGAAATTTTGACACATGGAAACCCTACATTAAATCTGTTTATACATTGATGGATTTGGGACAGGCCTTTGGGGCAGAATTCCAGAGCCTTACTTAGCAGAATAAACATGCCACTAGATCCCACAACCCCTGCTTTGTGTTGAGGCAGCCAGGCTAATAAGCAAGTGAAGGAAGATATGTTCTTGTCTATGCAGGATGTCCCCCATAAAATAAAAATTGAAGTAAGTGTACTTACTTTGAAATAAATTAATTTGCCTTTTCAAAAGAGATTGATGGGTGAGTTGTAAAACCATCACATCCAGAACCTAAATTTGCCTAACTGCACCACTTAATTTATATAAACTGTGAGTGTTGCTGTCTTTTTAAAAATTTATATAGTTTATATACAAGCCTTTCTCATAAATGGTGCCTCCATTTATAGTAGAAATTGAAGTGCATTTTAAAGACTTAGGGACCTTCCACACAGCCCTATATCCTAGAATATCAAGGCAGGAAATCCCACATTATCTGAGTGTGGACTCAGATAACCCAGTTCAAAGCAAATATTGTGGGATTTCCTGCCTTGATATTCTGGGATATAGGGCTGTGTGGAAGGGCCCTGAGGCTGAATTATGATGGAAATTTGACAAGGGACTAGAACAGGGGCATGTTGTGCCTGTTTCCTCAATTGCAGCTTCCATTGAGTTAAATGGATATTATTCTCAAGAAAGCATGTAAGGGATTATGGGTGCAGTTTGAGAAAAGGCCATCCTTTTCATCTAAAAAATGCCTAGTGGGAATGGGACCAATGGAAAAAAACAGGGTATATGCCTTTGGGACCTTGTGAGTTCCTGATAGGGAGCACTTTTCTCAACCCTGAATTACAGCCTCAGAATTATGTAATCACTTTACAGCAATGAAATGGTGGCAGAGTCAGCAAAATGCTTCCGTCCTTTGATAGAATGGAAACTGTCATGGGAGTAGGAAAATCTTATTCTAGAGCAGTGATTCCCAAATTGTGGTCCTCCAGGTGTTTTAGACTCAGATCTGCCCCCACCACTTTGGCCAAGAGTCAAAAATGATGGGAATTAAAGTCCAAAACACCTGGAAGACAACAGTTTGAGAATCACAGATCTAGGTGGTCAGAAATATGGTGGTTATGCCACCTATATATATAGCTTGCCGAAATGTGGTGTTATACCTGCCAGATACATTGGTTGCATCACTGGTTTGCTTTTCAGTTCCATATTTTAAATATGTGAATTGCCTTTATTTTATTTAATCAGACATCTCATTTCTTTAGCAAAATGTGCTATTGGCAAAATGTTGAACTGCGCTGATTAGGACGTCCCTGTTTTTATTGTTATTTCTTTAGAAACCAATTGGTATATTTATTGACTTGTGTACATAATTTGTATGAATTGCTGAAGAAATCCACTAGAGAAATTAAACACTTTAATTGCCAAGAACAGTCAAAGGGCCCCTATGGCAGCATTCCCTTTTGCTGAAATAAATGACATTGAATGCATTATGGATATCACAGGAGGTATTGTGCCTTAATAAATAAACAAATAACACCCAGGGAAATGGCAAGATTTGCACGTGTAATTCCTCTTTATTTCTTGCTCCCAGATGCTTAAGCGGTCATGCAAGAATGTAAGCTTTGGCAGTCATTTCCATGGTTAAATGAATGAACATAACAGACTAGTAGCTGAGTAACCATGTGTGACCTTTGCCTGGTACATTCTCTAGCCATGATAAAGTCTTTACATTACTCTGGGGTGTCTCGCATGCTCAACTGCAAATTACTTCTGAAGTTTCCAAATAGGATGTAGCAACATTGGTAGCCACACTTGTCCTGCTTCAAATTAGTTCTGAAACTATATTTTATTAGCTAGAATTAAAATTATATGGTGTTTTTTGTATGTGTTTACCTGCTTCAAATAACTTGAAAGTGGAATATACATTTTACAAAAACTGTTTGAGTCCCATGGACCTATCTGTGATTTGGGGCAAATGTGCTCTGCTTGCTACAGGTAGGATGAAGATAATTAGTGCAGGACATTTCATTTTATTCAGGATGCCTGAGAAGAAATTGAAGTTTGGCTGATCTTTTCCCCTATAGTAGATTAATGATGTCATCATATTAACCAGGTGAAGTGTCCTACTTTGCCTGGTATCTGGGAGGAAAGAGGGAGCAGTGGGGAAAATCTGTTGCCCTGCACACAGCTCCCTCTCAGCAATGATTTCCAGATCGCATGGGGAAAGTGTTGCCCTCTTGGAGAGGCCCCATGCTGGCTCCATTGGAAGACTCCCGTGTTGAGAGGAAAGCATCATACAATGCTTTCCACAGGAAGCTCCCTTACATCATCTGATGGGCAGTGAGCCCATGAACCCTGCAGCCATGGTTGAAGCATCGTAGGATGC